CATAGCTAAGACATCGATGACTTTGCAACATATTGGCCCTTATCCTTTCCTCTCAAGGCCTCAATACTTGCCTTCCATTGAGACTCACTACGCTGACCCCTAACCATGCATAGCTAAGGCATTGACACTCATCTTTATCCAAATTTGGCGTGTCGACCCCCGACCTTTGTACCTGGAATCTTGATACCCAACTAGTGACGTATCAGCCCCTGGCCCTGATACTCACTCATTTTCTCTTCATTTTTCTCAAATTCATTTTCTCTCTATACAAATTTTTTCTCTCGTAATCATCTTATTTCGTTTTTCTCAAAGGTAATATATTAAACAAAGAAACGGAGGATCTCACAACTCAAGATCAAGGCACAAACTCAACAGGGCAAACAGAAAAACTAAAAACTCAAACACAAGTATATAATCAAGAAAACAAGTCCCAGACCGAGATAAGCATAAGATCTGAACTAAAATAACAGCTCTCAGGCCAGGTAGTATAACGATAAAAAACTCAGCCTTCGCGGCTCTAAGAAGAACAAAAGGCGGCCTACCCAACCCACCAGCATGAAACCCTAGAGGTACGCTCCCTTTGTAGGATCGATATGACAACATTAGAGGAGGGTGAATAGGGTTGCTTACGACTCGTAGATTTAGAAAAATATAATTAATAATAGCAAATAATCAAATGAAATTTAAATGCATAAATTAAAGACTAGAGAGAGAGAGAGATGACACTAGGAATTTTTATAGTGGTTCAGAAATCCCTACTTCACTCCCCAAGACTCCTTTTTGAGTATTTTACTGCAACAACTCTCTTATGGGTGAGAACCAAACCGATCAACCCTCTTTTTGTCCTAGGCTAAAGAGAAACTCATGATCCTTCTTATTGGTTCAAGATCCAACCAACACAATCTTTTTCACTAGTTCAAGATCAAACCACTATGATCATTTTCACTGATTCATGACCAAACCACTACGATCCTTTTTACTGGTTCAAGATCAAACCACTCTCACAATCTCAAGGTGCACTCACACCTTAATACAAAACCCAAAATATGAAATGAGCAATACAAATAAAATACCTCATTAAGGTTGATTTGCAAATTTTGCACTAAAGCAATAGCTAAAAAGCTAAACTCTAATATATCTCTCACAAAAAAATATATCTATATATTGGCAACTTTCTGTGTGGAGAGAATGAAAACTTGAGAGCAAAATAGTTTGAAGGGAGAAAGATGTTTTCTTTGATAATTGGTGTGTAGGATGGTGAAATTTGGTGGCTTTAAATAGAGTTTCGAAGATGAATCTTGGTCACTGGATTTTGGGCAAAATTGAATGAACGATTGAGATTAAGAAGAAAAGATAAGGAAAAATGAATAAGGAAGATTTGGAGAAATTGGTGGAGGTTGAGAGATTTGTGAAATTGAGAGATGATTGTGGAATTGATAGAATTGTGGAAATGGATTTGTAGAGATTGAAAGTGCCACATGTCGTCTTCTCATTTGTTTGATTGTTGGATGCCACATCAGTATAAGTATATCATCTTGATGCCATATGTCAACTTATGAGTGGTCCACTTATCCATGTTACCCGCCACATATGATTTTTCTCCTGACTTGTCTTGAACATAACTTCTTCGTTTGAACTCCGATTTGAGTGATTGAAAAAGCATATGATTAGTCTTTCCAAGTTCTATGCTATGGACACTTTGTAACACTAAAAACCTTCGGTAAATAAAGTTTGTTATCATTAAAATATTTGGTATGATTGAAGCTTGTAAAGCTAACAATCTCCCCCATTTTGATGATGACAAACCACTCAAGAAAAATATTCTCAAAGTGGCATGAGTATAATAATATTGAAAGAATTCAATCACAAATGAATACTTCAACCAATATCATCACTAATGACAAGTACTTTGAATTTTTCTTCACAATTCTCCTCCTTTTGTTATCATCAAAAGATAACAATTCTAAGCATGCATAAGCTCCCCCTCAAAATAGTAATCAAGCAATCGATAATCTTAAGTCAGTTTAAGCTCTTCGAATAAATAAAGTCCATCATTTTTTAGCAAACATAAGATCAATAGATATAAGTACTTTTAAGAACTCATCAAAACATAGATTCAATAGATATAGTGAATGCATCAAACATATAATCTTCATTTCAAGGCAAAATAAATCATTTCAAATGATCATCATTCTTACAAATCAGAAGCAACATACAATAATAGAAATTATAATAGCTCCCCCTAAATATGTGAGTCATATAGAGATTTGACATGATTAATAAAAATTTCTCCTAAATGTATGAGATATATATTAAGATCACATATAAGAGATAAAAACAATAAAATCATTTTACAACCAATAACTTTTATCATAAAATAATATTATTAACAAATAATTCATAATCATTATCATAAATAACTCTCATAATTATGTAGTCAATACTTCCTAATTTTAAGAGGCACTCCTCCCCCTAAAACTAAGCATACTTCAAACAAGATTTTATCAAAGAATTTCAAGGAGTTGCATAACTCAAAACTTAAGCAATTTAAAACTTTCATAATAACTCAATTAATCATAATAAATAAAGCATAGGACAAAATATTTCAATGGAGTAAATAACTTAAAAATATTTCAATAATGGAATTCATAAGTTTCAATGTTCTCACAAGCAATCTCATATAAGAATTCAAACTTTGAAGCATTAAGAGATACCAAGTAAGAATATTGAATTTATGAAATATTTTGTAACGCCCCGCGTTCTCTGGTTAATTTAATTTTACGATTTAGTTTATGCCCTTGGACTTCTCCCTTTTGGATAAATTAAATTCTTGGATTTTCTAATTTCAGAGTTCTAATTTTGTGTAAATTAGAACTTAAACTTTAATTTTGTTAGATTAAGATAAATTAAGTTTTCGAACTGTGGAAGAGATTTTTAATTAAATCTTATTTCAAGAATTTGGAAATTTAATTTTCCTTTTGGATTTTATTACTTAAGTTAATCTCTTAATTTATTTTCCCAAATCCAGTGGGTTTTATTTTGAAAAAAGATTAAGAAAAAAATCCCTACTCTTTCGTAAGGGCTTAGCCCGTTCTTCTTTGTTTTGATTTTATTTGGGCCCATTATTTTTGGTAAAAAGAAATTAAAAGAAAAGGAAAAGAAATGGGAAAAAGGAAATAAAACAAAAATAACCCAAAAACCACGATCCCTCTTTTTCCCTCTCTCTTATCTTCTTCTCCT